CACACACACACACACACACACACACACACACACACACACACACACACACACTTTTTCCCCTCTTTAAATAACATCCGACTTTAACTTTAAGGGAAACATTCAGTAGTTTTCGTTCCATTGTTATTTTACCGCGGGTCATTTGAATCCAAGTTTTTCAGATTTTTAGGATACTGCACTCTGCACATTACTCCGCGTTTTAGCTGGAGTCAGATCCAGATATGATCATCACACGACGCTCGAGTCTTGACGGTCTTGGACACTGGACACCACCAGCGATCAGTCAGTGAATGGGAGCGGTGGTCGTTACCGGACTTGGTGTGTTGCGCCATAACAAAGGGTTTTCCCGATTTGCCCGAATTATATTAAATGCTCTTTGAATTTGAAAGCGGATTACTGGTCTGTGATCGCCACGCTGTTAGTAACGTACCCCACGACTCCAGCCAACGAACGATATCTTGAACCGTGACACACAGCGTTGGACACTGGGGGCTTATAACAACGTAACGGCTCTTGACTCACAGACAAAGCCGTTGCCACCATTGTGGGATTCTACCATGTTGATGTTGCCGATCCCTCGTGTGGTCGCAGGGCCAACCCTAGCTCTGCAACAAGCTGACAAAACGCCTTTTTCGTTTATTCACTGCAGTTTCGAGATAAACAAGCTTTGTGTCAGCGTAACCATTTTAAAAAGGCGTTCTTCCGAAATTTAAATTCAAATTTCATGCAAAACTAGTTACGGTTTCTCTTTGATTTTTTCCCCACACAAGAGTAGGGTAACTGATCAAGCTTTCTATTGAACAACGGAAAAAATTGGCATAAAAAATGAAAATAAAGGTGTTTTGTCAGCTTATGGCAGAGCTGTGTCGTGTGCAGTGTGCATCAAAGCAGAAATACGCTAGTCCAAATACTACTCACTAAATTATCTTCCTTATTTCAGATCAAACTCATGTCTTTGGCTTTCGAGGTGGAAAGCCCTACCGCTACACCACAGACATCAGTAAGCCCGCTTTAGGCGGGTTTTAGAGATTTAGTTTGTTCTGTGTTTTTTTCTTTGGGAGAAGGGCTGTTTACCTTTTTTAAAAACCAAATGATCTAGCTGAAGGTCACCAGGCCTTTTTCACCGCTTAGTATGAAAAAGCGACTTTGGCACTGTAAAAATAAAATAACCCGGCGCATTCCTTTTCTTTTCCGGGGGGGGGGGGGTGTAGAGGGCGTCACTGGTGGTCTGCTTCTATACACTCCTTTTGTTATTTCTACTAAATTCTACCAATCTGTTTTGCTTCTGCTAACTGTTATCTATTTGCAGATTTTCTCAGATCAAAGATAACATTTCAGCTTCCTATTTATTGGCCATAGATTCCTGCCTTTTTACGATGACTGATTTTATATTTTCCCATTAATTATGATTTAGGGGATAGTTTTGCTTCTCAAAAAACCTGACCCTGCAAAGCTGAACTTCGGCGACTTGAGATTTGACCTCTGAGAGGGTCAAAGCTGATGCAGACGGAACCCCATTGCAAACAAAAAAGTATAAAATACTACAACAGAAAAAAAGCCTTAGTTTCTTGATGTGTCAAAAGTTTGAACAAAGATCGTAATTTTCAAATGCGTTGTCATGATGTCATACATAATTTATAAATGCCACCACCAACACCAACACTATCATCATCATCATCATCATCATCATCATCATCATCATCATCATCATCATCATCATCATCATCATCATCATCATCATCATCATCA